ACACCTGTGTTGCTCTGCTATCATTTTAAGTGTATACCGAACTATTTACAGCCAGGGCTGGTCATGCTGTGTGAGAATTTACTTTGGTCTCTTGCACTGGCTTTCTGTAATGATCAGAATTTCCACCCGTTCTGAAGAGATGCTGCTCAGATTCACCATGTTTGCTTGCTTTATAGTACACTGACAATTTTCTCCTGTAGCATCTGGCAGAGGAAGGTGTCCTGCTGGTTGGCACAGTGGTGCAGTGACTAGCATTGCTGCCTTGCAGTGCAGGGGCCCTGGGTTCAATTCCAGACCTGGGGTGCTCTCTGCATGGTGTATATATGTTCTCTCCATGTTCATGTGGGTATTCTCTGATCAAATCAGATCAAAGACTTAGTGGTTGGTTAATTGGCTTTTGGAAAAATTTGCTCTTGTGTGAGTGTGTGCGTTTTTGTCTTTGTATGTCCTGTGGAGTTCTGGCGTCCCATCAAGGGTGTATCCTCTTATGCTCCTGTTGCATGCCAGGATAGGCTTTGGCACCCCTGCAACCCTGTACTGGATAAAGCGGTTACAAAATGAAAGGATGTTATCCCATGATTGTATTTTTAATGCATTTCTGAAATGCACAGAATAAATAAAGTGGTGTTAGCTCCTTATTCTACATTTGTTAATCCTGACAGTCTGAAGCACCATTTTAATGTAGATCAACACAACAACTTCCGAGTGAGCAAGTGATACACTACACTACACAAATATTCCTGCTTTCTTCTTCATTCCTGACAGACTAATGGATATTCTGCAAACCATTAGCAATTTGGGTTTAGTCTGCCCAATGCACTTCCAGACAAGCAGATCTGCCTCACACAGGCAGCAACCTGCCTGGCCTAACTGCTGATGAGAGAAGTCCATTCTCTGCAAGGCTGCTCTTTCAGACAGGACTGACACAGGCCCAGTTAGGTTTTGAAATTCACTGCAGATTCAGTTACAGCACATTTGCATGTCAGTGTCATAAAGGAACCATCAGTGGCATTTCACCTCCATGGATCAACAAGGTTTTGTTAGATGTTTGAGTGTTAGTGGACAGATGTAGACCATGAGGTCTGGAATCTGCTGTAAACGTAAAGACACAGCCCTGCTGAAGAAAACAGAAACTGAAGCATATGTTGCCCTCTATTTATTTACTTTTGAGCTTCCATACGAACCCTTGATAAGGACCAAGACATACACATACTGAAATTGTAATGTGGTGTAAGTCTACTTCCCTCTCATTTTCAGGGAACTTCGAGCTCTGTGTGCTCCACAGAGCTAGAGGTCGAGAGGCGGTTGTCAGAGTCCTGAAGCAGATGAGATGTTTCATCTGTAATGAAGCTAAAAGTGCTGATGCTGCGTTCAGCTGCTTGAAACACTAAAAGAGCAGGCTGCATGGAGTCTGGTTTCGATTGGGCAAGCGGGGAGTGTAATCACAAAACCGCAGGAAGGGAGCATTTGTTTCTTTCTGCCGTCTCCACAGCGAGATTCAGAAGGAGACGTGATTGTGGTTTTTACATCTCGGTTTTGCAGCTGTGAGGGATGTCATCAGCTGGCTAAAAAAGCACGAGGCTAGGAAGTCCAGATGGATGAAGTGTGGTCTTTCTAATGCGTTTGTGATTAAGAACATAAGACTGATTACAAACAAGAAGAAGCCAATGGTCCATCTAGCCCGTTTACTAATTAGTAGATCTCACCCCGCTATTTCTTCAAAGTAGCCAGGGTAGCTACAACAACATAGGTAGCTTGTTCCAGACTCTCACACCCCTTTGGATAAAGAAGAGTCTGTTGTCATGTTTTAAATGCACTTTTGTGTAGTTTTCACTTCTGTCCTCTGACTTATTTCACTGTTGACCCTAAAGAAGTCCACTGTATTGAGTTTGTCAGTGCAATTAAGATTTGTGAATGTTTGTGTCAGATTCCTACGTAGTCTTCTGGGCTCAAGAATGAAGTGGTTCAGTTCTTTCAGCTGGTCGGTGCAGGAATGAAATATTCTTTTGCTTTCAAGACAACAACAAAAAACCATTACCATTATGGTTGCTTGACATTTAGAAGTAAACAGTCTCTCATGTGATCACTTTGACTATAGACACATCATTCTTTTTCAGGGGTGCTTGTTTACTTCTCAGCTAGTGAAACACTGTTGTTCTCTTTGCCAGATGGCTATCCAAGATACACAAAGCTGTGATGTAGCACGTTCAAACAGTAGGCCAGACTATCATGACAAAATTTCTATTAAGGAAAAGCACTAGCTGATTAACATTAGTATGCAAAGCATACAGTATATATGATTTATTTACATTTGGACACAATTATCTCTTTTGGTTGTATACCACAGGTATACTTGGAAAGCTACCAGGAGTGTGTCTGTGTCCCAATTCTGCTGAGTACAGTTAACTGTTAGCTGCTCTATAGAGAAGTAATGGAGTGAAAGGAATGGAGTTGAAATTTAAAGTAGAAAGTTTGTATTCTGGAGCTTAAATCAACATGTTGAGTTGAACGGTCGACTGACGTTTTTTTTAACACAGTCACTTTTTATGACCTTAAAAGAAACATTATATATTAACATGTATGAGTGTGTCCACTTCTAAGCTGACAGGTTCAGGGAGGGAAGGGGTTAAATCTTGCTTGGCTCTGAATTCATGCTCCTTTCTGAGTTTGTAGCCTCCTCAGCAGCACTGTAGCCACACACACGGTTTGTTCATAGTGTACAAGTGCAGATAGCTGGAGAGGGGGTGATGCATATCTCAGTGTCTTTGCAGCATGAAAGGTCTGGCACAGCCAGGAGCACCCCTGGGGTGCTGTAATATTACCCCACTGTCGACATGGCGCAGGGGAGGCACACAGCAGCTCCTTCTGTCTGCAGATCCCTGTTAAAAGTCGGTTCAGGACAAGGGGGAGGGGAGAAAAGTTTGAAAGCCCAAGCGTCAGACAAAGACACCGGGAAACTGCAGTGCGCAGCACAGAAATCCGGAGTCAGCAACTTCTATTGATTAAAAACTAACCTTAGAGTTACTCGCAGAGCTTGTGGCAAGTGATAGAATTTAAACAAGTCGTGAGCTGGGCTGCGGCTGGCTAGGAATCTCAGGCTTTTTGTTATGAGCCTGTTAGTATCCTGTCTTTCCTTTTTTATTTCCTCCAGTTTCTCCTCCTATCTCCCCTGCCCTGTTCTCCCTCCTTGCTCCTATTGCTGCCTCCTTTTTATTATTCGGTGAAGCACCCTAATATCTCACGCAGTGTTAATGGGCTGCAAAGAGCTGGGTGGGAAAGAGTGTGGTGGTAATGGGGGGTGAGCTACCTAAGTGTTTTCCCATGCGATATGTAAAGGAAGTGAAATGCTATAATTGAGCCATTGTCTAAATTTCACTAGTTGCCGGCAAAGTTGGATAAATTAGACCGGTGACTAGAATGAAGAGGAGGGTGATGGAAAAGTAGCTCAGGGGGGTAAGTGAGAGAGAGAGCTGGGTGAGGAGCGTGGGGTCATAAATTAGGCGGAATCAATACTGCTGTGTGTTTGCAGCAGGGCCTGGGTGACGTCAGGGAAGGAGGCAGGCTCATGGGTGGAGTGGAGGCAGAGCTGGGCCTTGCTAATGATAGTCACGTCGAGGGCTGTCTGGTTGTCCCTAGCAACCAGACATGATGTAACACTAGGATGAACTTGAACTTGGAGGGAGGGAATAGGAAGGGGTGGGGAGGAGGGGATGCTAGGAATGTGAACAATAGACCAGAGCAATCAATAAAGCCTATTTCACCGAAAGGATTATAGAAGTGCTTCGGGCTAACCTTGCCTTCAAGGCACTTTGTTGAATAGTGCAAAGAGTGAGGAAGCCTTTTTTTTAAAGACTGCAGGAGCGTTGCAGAGCAGGCTTTGGCAGCAGGCTGCACAGTGAAGGAATGTGTCCTCTGCAAAAGAGCACCTCCTGCTGCCTGGTGGGAGCAACAGCACTGAGGCCTAGCTGGGGCTGGCGCAGATGGCTGCTCCCTGGAAACTGGGTGTCAGAAATAGATTTCTGCAGAAAGGCAGCACAGTCTGCCTGCTTGTCAACAGGGAGCCTAAATAAATGACCTGTGTGCACACAAGCTAGTTCAGACAAACTTTGAAAAACATTTCACAAAGTAAATAAACATGAGCTCATGGAGGTCTCTGTGTATTCACAATACTAGGTCTTGTCAATGTGATCCGTTTGAGACTAACGTTTAAAGGGAATCACCAGTGTGCCTGCATAAAGCTTTTTGAAATTGTGAAGCTTCTGATTTTCCAAAGTTCATTGTTTTGTAATGTGAGAAACTTTTTTCCTTATGGAAAAGATCTGCATGTACTGTAACTCAACAGTATGTCCGCAGCCACGTTAAAAAAACAGTGCTAAAACCCAGCTCCTTCAGACCTACCATGTATACAGTAGGGTTGACGTTCCCCACCCTCCTATCTCCTACACACCTGTTCTGACCGTCTTCATTTGAGCACTGCTTCTGTGTGTTCCTTCAGGAACCTGCCCAGCCTGTGCAGTGGATTGCGAATTTGATACATTAAAAATGATTTTAATGTCTCTGGCGTCATTTTAACAAAAATGGTTCAGTTAACTTTTGATATATTCTCAAACGGTTTATATCGTAATGAAATTGTAATAGACTGGTGCAGTAAACCTGGCGACAGTCAAACACGATGCCCTACACTTTGAAAATCAATTCCGTAAGCAGATATGTTGCTTGAGAAAGAGAATTTCCACTGATGACTGCAAAAGTTAATCCCAATATAAAAATCAGATTTGCCACTGAACACCTCTCGCATGCAGTAATTACATCAAAAAGTTGTTTTTTTTTCCCCAGATGGCTGACTGATGGTTCTTGGGTGTTTTAAGTTCCACACAAACTAGTAGCATCTCTTAACTGGCTGGAATGGAACAGCGGGAGGGTATAAGGGCGAGAACACCAAACTTCCTGGTGTACAGGGTGTGATGCTCAGTTCCTATGTTTTTCTCTTTTCTGTGCAGTGGTATCTGGGTTAAAGACTCGAGATTCTCATCGCCTGCTTGACAGACCACCTGACCCCTACTGCCCCCTCTGAGCGTGATCCGCCACACACCGTGGACCTCTCTGCTACCGAGACGAGGAGCGTGGAGTGCCCACCGCGACCTCATCGCCGCCCCCTCCACCAAGAGCAGCATGGCTACAGCAGAACCCGTCCCAGACCATAGAGGAATCGACGATACACATGCATAAGAGTATAGACAGAAACGTGCGCGCAGTCAATCTTGAGCCGAACAACTGATTGGAGGACCACTGAAGTGCTGTTCTTTCTGGATAAGTGGAGTTTCAGTCAAAGGTCTTGACCATGGGGAGAGACACAAACTGACTGAGGAGCAGCCTTCAACACAGCGGGTCTTAAATACAGGTTTGACTGCACAAAGGGCGTCTGTATATCTTAGCTATGGGTTTGCGGGTCCTCAAAGCAATGGAAGACTCAGGCTCTGTTTCATTTTGGTTTTCGTTTTTGTTCCTGGTTATTTTGCTTTGTTCTGTTTCGTATTTGCAGAAGTTTTCGCTGGATCGATTCCCGCCAGCCAAAGCTTTTTTTTTTGTGCAAGCACTACAGAGCCTTGGCATTTCATCGGGCTTTGACCCAACATTTGACAACTCGACAAGAGTTCACAGTGAAGCCATGCTGAATGTACTGTAGGGAAAAATTCTAGTCAATGGAATAGAATCTAGGCTTTCCTCCGACATATCACAGAGAAAAAGATTTTTTTAAAATCTCAGCTCTTTTCTGGGGGGGGAGGGTCAGTTTTGGATATAGGTCAATTGGAAGAATATTAATCAAAGCATGAAGGCAGGTTTCAGCGTGTTTTCACAGGAGGCGTACATGAAAAGTCCTATCTGGGTGTGAATTTATATGCAGCAGTCAATATGAGATATTTTTGTTTCCTGTTATTTTCTGAATTAACACAGGGCCCCCACAGCTTTTTAAAAGCATGTTATTTCCCAATGGGGAAAGATGGTCTGTTTTTCTATAGAAACTGACAACACAAAACAAAACAGCGATAAAAGGCAAACAGAGGAATTTTGAATTGAGTAAAGTGCAATTTCATTCGATAGTTATTGGATAGGTAAATATCTTTGTAAGATAGTGATTGTTGAAAATTCTATTTTTGTTTTGTTTTCTTTTCCTAGTCCGGTTACCCCCAGGACTCTAAAATATCGGGGTACAAAAAATTTAAAAAGAGAAAAAAAATCAGAGCCTTGCTAGTAAAAAAGGGGGAGCTTTTTTTGCTACTTTGTTTTTGTATGAATAGTATTATGTTACTTATAATCCCTTAAAAATACAGAAAGTAAGAGTTACAAAACAGAATTCAAAAATAATCTTGGCGCTTTTTACCAGAATATGTCTAATTATTACATTCAAATGCTATGTAATCACATTCTTTTAACAAAGCACATACAATGTTTGCGTCTTGTTCATTTTTCACAAGGCAAAACTGCAGATACGCTATGTAATTAGGGTTAGTACACACAACTCTCCCAAACCAATTCACCTTGTCTCCGTTTGAAAAACCTTTTGGTTCACTTGTGTGCTTCACTTTGAGGAGAAAAGATGAGAAATGCTTGTTAAAGCACTAATTCCCAGTCTGTCCACTGAGTTAGAAAACATGTAGTGGGGGAGTGGACCCATTAAAAATAAAGCGTAAAAAAAAATCTCATCAAACAACATTTGCAACCAGACAGCGAAGCTTTTCAGTTGCTTCGCATGCAACTTTTCAAGTTTTTTTTTCTATGCTATACATATATTTACACTCTTGACCGACTCTTGAGTCGATCCAAAAAAGAAAAAAAGAAAAAAAAAGAATAATCTGCATGTTCTAGTGTTAGTGACTAATTTTTATATAGATTATGTAGATTTAACGTAGAGTGATTAAGACACAATATTGTAATTCTGAATCCAGGCACTTGCCGATAAACTAGATTTGTTTGGCCCGCGAAGAAAGGGCTTTTTACTGCTGTCCTCTACAATCAACAAGCTAAAAGTCTTTCAAAGACATTTTGCTTATCATTGTTTTGTTTTCTTTAGCCCTTGCAATGAAATAAATATTTCGTTATGTTCTTGAATTGCACGAAACAATTGTTCCTCATCAATGTGCCTTGAATGGTGGTTATGTCCTGAATTGTTGCACAAGTTCCTACGTGAATTGTTTTTTTCAGTTCTGCATTTCACCCCATAGTGTAGGACACTGTAATAATGTATGTCCACTCATTGTAACACATCGGTCCCTGATAAAATCGAGACTTTAATTCCCTTCACCACCAACCAATTACAGGTGTTGATAACCTTTGCTTCCATGCTTTTGCTCTAATTTGGAATTAGAGCTCTAATTTGGACCCATATTTTGATATCGACGCAACACTATAGAGTATAGAAACAAAAGCAATACAAAACTCTGTTTAGGACAAGGAAGACTGTTATGTCGGTTAACAATTTGATTTTCTCTTTTTAAGTCTCTAGTTTTTCTAGGATATCTAGCCCAGCCAGAAAAAAACGACCGACAGAAGTCATATGAATGAAAAATATATATTTGCATATTTTAAGACAAAAAATCAGAAGAGTTTTCTGACTGAGGAAGAGGCAAAAATAATCCATGCATCATTTGCAAAGTTACAGCCAAAAACATCTTGACATTTGTTTGGTCAAGCTCAAAGTACAGAACACAACCTTAAAAAATGTACGCTGACTGGTTATAAATGTTGAAATTGATATTGCTATTTCTGTTTCTGGTAAAAGTAAATGTCCTCCTTTCTACAATTCACAGTAAAAAACAGTACGATAATCGGTTGTGCGTTATAATTAGTGTTGAATGCCCTTATCAATTTACACCAGAACTGAAACTTAATAAGGTATCTGGCTAAATGGAATCTCAGTTTGACAAAATAGTGACGGTGTTTTGCAAGTCCACTTCCGTGTGAATTTTGGAATTCCAGTACGCCTGGTGTCTGCAACCCTGCTAATTTATAAAAACACTTACTTCTGTGTAATTACTGATACTAGCAGTAGTTGACCCGAACAGCCCTTAGACATTCTGTGTATTCAAATAGGTAACTGCTTGTACAGTATTCCATCAAAACCTTTTAAAGGGCCCTAAACAGAGGTCTGTATTATGTTTTTCATCCCCGTTGTGTCGTTGTCAAAATATGTTACCCAGAGATCAAAACTAGCCCAGTGTGCTGGTATAGCTGATAGAAGCGTGTTTTCACGTGTGTACTGTAGGTCATATTTACCCCATCCTCCCAAGAGTTCAGTGCATTTACTTGCTAGTATAATTATACTTATGGACGTTGCAACAATTTCTAAAAAAGAAATTCCTTCATTTTTGAGTCTTCCCATTTTGTGTTCCAGAAATGACAAAAAAAAATATGCAATACCCATTTGCACTCATATAGAAATGTTCGTCTGTTTTAGATTTAGGGCTGCGCTAGACTCAATGTTTTTCGGTGGTTGTCTTTATTGGTTAGGGACATTGAAGGCATACTTCTTGAAGTCACGGTCAAATACGCAACCATTAAATTGGATATGGCTCTCAAGGTTTCTAGAAAAATTGAAGCTAGATATTATATGTTTTGTTGTTTTTTTTTGTGGTCACAAGCAAGCCTTAAATAAACCAACTTCCTCTCCGTCACAGATCCCACACCCATTTTTATTGACAGACTAAAATATCATATTCAAGAAAAAAAGAAAAGCCCATTTTTATACGTACGTTTGACAGATTTCCAACTCCTTTGAACTGTTTACTGATTCCCTGTTTCTATATATATATGACTATATATATATTATTAAAAAATTAAATGAAAAGTAGGGGGGATTATTTCCTAGATGCCTGATGTGATCACGTAGTTGTTACTCTTGCGTGGGTTGTGCGATTGTGTAGTGTGTGAATTTTTGTTTGGTCATTATACTTAACAACCCCTTAGCACTTAGTAGGGCATTACTTTCTGACGTATGTGCACTAAATATGAAAAGCAAATGACAACGACACAAGAATATCAAGAACATAAAGCTTCCAGAGCTTCAGATCTAAGGGAAAATAATAAATTGCACGGACATTTTTGTCATAAAAGCCTATTTGAACAGCCAAGCATTTAATCAGCAGATTTGGTTGTTTATGTAACATAAGAGAAGATTGCACCCTTTGTTTTTTTTAAAAAAAGAGAGAATAATAAAGCAATAGGTGGGGCAGTTTGTCTTTATTTTTTGATGCGTGTGTAATTTAGTTCTTGCTACACAAGTGAAGAAGAACAATAGACATAAGAACAATTTGGATGTTTAGCCTCTCAATGTGGAAGACTTGTAATTTGTATGTTGTATAGTTTTATTAATTACACTGATTTTTAAAACTGCCCTATTTTATAATGCAGGACTTTTGTAACATTGTTTAAATGAGGAAAAAATAGTGTCGTGAATTTTATGATTGTTTGTATTAAGGCCACATTAATAGAATTGCTTTTTATTTGTTCTCTGGGAACTGGATTTAAGTTAAAAACTTTCCTGTTTCCTTTTTTTTTTCTTTTTGTATGTATTTAAGTACTTTTTTTCTTCTTTGAATGCAATGGCATATTCCCATGCTTACAAAGTATGGGACACAGAGATAATACCCATTGTAAATGGAGGTTGCAAGTATGCTGTATGTTTGGAAGGCTATGTGTTTCAACAGTGTTGGTGAAGCTACGTTTAGGTAATTCTGAGGAAATTTGCAAGAAAATGCATTTTCTTTGTTTTTTTTCTTTTTAGTGTAGGCAGAAGACAATGACATAGGCAGCCAAAGGATGCCAAGTATTAACTGCATTAAGGCGTCTTTTTGTATTCAGCATTCCATACAGGAAAATAAACGGCTTGACATGCAACCAGATTCTTCTTCCTTTTGCCCTGCTCTTCAAAGGACAACCAGTGGAAGTTACATGGCTTTGAGTTACTTCAGGAATCCATTCCATGTACTCTTCTCTGGTGATTTGGTTTATTGATCCCAGTGAACCTCCTGGAACACTAAAATTGTTTTACCTTGAATTCCCTATCCCTTCCACTTTTTTTCCTGTTGCCAATATTTATTGCCCCACTTAGTCCCCACAAGTTATTTCGGGATATCCACAACAGCAGATTTTGCACCTCTTGAGTCCAACCCATCAAAGAGATTTGATGTTGATTTTTCCATTTGTACAGCTCTGGACAGCAAAAAATGTGGACATCTTTCCAAAGAATGAGAAACTTCTGTGGCCGGCCTATAAAACTGGTCTCCTAACAAAGATATTGCACCATCCACTAAAAAATGAGAACATTTGCAAATGAGAGGAAGCCATTTGACTCTCTAACTTGTTTAGATTTGAACACCTAATTGACCCAAGGATCTCACCTAGACAACTTAAATGTTCATGAATTATTGAATTGAGGAAAACGTTTGCTTACTGCTGTCTGTAGAGCAATTTAAAATTATTGTATACCCAAATTCATTGGAAAATACAACTCCCACAGCAGGAAAACATTATTTTCTGTAACATTTGCTTGGATTGAGGTAATCAAATGCTATATCTTTTCTTTTTTTCACAAAAGCTGTCTAGTGCAATTTCTTCCTTTCTGATTGGAGGTTTTTTAAGGCAAGGCTCGGAGCAATGTGAGATCATCAAAAACACTCCTTCCCAGGATGCTAATGGTTGTGATCTGTGACCTCTGAAATGCCACCTCTGTGGGAATCCCGGCATGACTCATTTTCTGGATTTGTGCACTCTGTAATGGGACAGACCTAGGTTGGGGTGAAGGCTGGAATTAGGTTTGGGGTGCAATTTATAAGGAACTAAGGAATCTTTGAACTGGTGAGCACCCTAGAAGTTACAGTAGAACTGACTGGGTCCTTACCTGGATATTTACTGTATCAGAGCAAGTCTTGCAGACACATTGTAATTGCAAACCACAGCCCCTGTTCCCATGGAACCCTGTGCATTGCCTGGAATAAGAAAGATAATAATAAGCACCAGGTTTCTTTTCACACCTGAGACTAACCCCATCCTTCACACCCAACAAAAAGTGGTTAGCCTGCGATCAAACAGGGTGCTGATGTACAGTAGGGGTTTCAACTTGTTAAACTGTGTTGGAAAGCACACTGATAACCGGAGGAGGTTGAATGGGTTCTTGCTGCGAGTCTGTAATCCCCAGTGTCAGACAGTATACAGAACGGGAGGTGGGGCTAGAGAAGAGATCTGTAAAGCCCTTTTGAAATCAAGTGTCAATGTACTGGCTCTACTCTCCTCAAAGGAACCAGATACTGTAATTCAAACCAAGAACTCGTGTGCACAGATATGTTCTGTATTATTTAATATACAGTAGGTGCAACAGTTGGGTGATTCACAAAGCCAGTTATTTTCTAAAAAACTCAAGGAACACACTATAAATTGTGACACCCCCATGAGAGACAGCTAAGGAATTTACAGATAAGACTCGATTCAAATTTTTTAAGTAGTTATCCAAACAGTTAGTCTTTCACTTGTCGGTTAGTGTCCTGTATACATATGCCTTATTTTGTGCACATTAAATAAAATTTTCTCACTGTACAAAAAGGAATCTCTAAACAATGTACAGTGAACAACAAAAAATCAGGCACTGAACTTTGCAGCGCTGCTAAAACTATGGTTAAGAGGAAGACAACTATTTTAAGGTACTGTATGCCAGTTGACTTTCTCTGCTCAAAATCTTCCAGTCTGGTGCCATTCAGGAGCTGGGTCAGGACATTTCACAGCAGGGACTTCAGTGGCTTCTTCCCACTAAAAGGAGATCCCTTTCTCGTCCTGTATACAGTAGGTGTGTGAGAAGAACACCTTATTGATGCATATGCATTGAAAACTAAAACTTGGGGCTTCCAGAAAAAAAAAAAGTTGCTGAAAATTTCTTTGTGTTGGTTTTTCACATAAAATTCCACATTTGCAATGCCTGACTAAAATGGGACTTTTATATATTTTTTTAGATGTTGGATAGCCGCAGCCAAATTTGTTTTTACAAGCCGTGAAACTTTAAAACTGGCATCAGCATAGTGGCAACATTAGCGGATCATGATTAGTCGCCATGCTTTGCAGTCAGTGTCTTCCATTAATGTCCCTGGAAAACTCCTCGTGAAAGGCACGTGTCTAATCTGCCCGAAACGTTTTTCAAAGCCTGTTGAATTAGGAACATGACTTGGATTATGACTCGGATTAAATCACAGTTACGGCTCTGTCACCACTGTCTAGATTGCAGTATCTCTAGTTTGATACAGTCCACAATCTGTGTTATATCACACGTATCATGCCACACTGCAGGATTCCGGTCTGCAAAGCCTTGGGTCAGGAAAATGCAAACACTTTAAGAGTCATTTTACCGTAGGTGGTGATCTTTTAAATAACACCTATGCTGGTTTAAAACATTTAATGTATCTACTTTCTAATTATTTTGAGGGAGTGGAATCAAATTTCTAGTATCTGAAAATCCTGACACATTCTGAGTGGGTTATTACAGGTGTCCTGAATGCCATAAAGCAAAACAGAGCCCTGCTGTCTCCTGAGGATATTACAGAAGGAATCTGGGCTCAAGGAGAAGGTCTGAAGAAAGGAGCTCACTGTCAAACCTTTCTGAGCTGTTTATCTGACAGTTTTACCCAGAAAAAAAAAAAAACCATTTGCTCAGAACTCAGAACTTGTTGTTGAAGTGGGATTAAACCATGAAGGCGGTAACATGGCTGTTAAAGGTTTGCTTTCCAACAGCACAAATGAATATCTCCCTCAGCTTCTGCTTTTCTTCTGCTAAGAATTTGGAAGGATGCACAAGAGCCTGCATTCTCTCAGTCCCCATGTCCTCCTTTCGATGTGCTTTCTGTTTTTGTTTTTAGTTTCCATAGCACAGAGCTGATTAATCTATGTATCGACCACAGCCTACACAATTCTGCCATTGTTTTGGAAATGGGAGCTGAATAGTTTGAATAGTTGTATGGTTTGGAAATTTATGTTTTTTTGCTCTGAGCTAGACATCATCAGCAACCCCCATCACACCTCGAGGGGCAAATCTTCCTTATTCCTTGATTTAATGACAGAATTCTGAAGGTGACACCAGGAATAAACCAAAACAACCAAGCAAAGGAGTGACAAATCAGCTTAAAATTATTCTGATGTGTATCCATGTTTCAGTGTCTTTGAAAATTATTTTAAAGTATCTTTTCGTTATTTTATATTTTCTTGTTAAAAATAAAGAAAGCCTCCCTAGATCAAAATCCATATTTTCTAATGATGGAATGGTGTTTTAAAGGTGATACAGTATGTGCCCGTATGCTAATGGCACAAACTTGTAGAGCTTCAATGACACCTGAGGTCAGACTCCAAGGAAACAGAAAGGGTCTATCTTTTAAGAAGGGTGTTGCTTCTCCAAATAAATGGAATTGAGAATAAAATTAAAAAAAGACAAAAATAAAATTGTCACCTTGGAATTGGTGCATTCAGACTTGACAGTATTGGACATTTGAGTTCTACTCTAAATTAAGAACCAGAGCAACAAAAATTCTTAACATCACTTGAAAGAGCCCAAAACAACAAGCGAAAATAAAAACCTGAAGCAAAACAAAGCTGCCTATCTTAAAAAAAGGTGCTTTGATGTACAAACAGGTAACATTGAAGCTGTTCCATAGCACTCAACTGTAATGAGAAAAAGTGTCACTGATTCTGTAATAAAAAGACTTTTACCGTTTTAATGCAAATCCATTACATGGTGCTAACACAGGCTGGCAAAGATGAAGCTAAACTAATAATGTGACAATTTGGACTCATCACTCTGCTTTCTGACAGCATACAAATGCATAGCAGTGTTTTATCTGCATGAGAACTATGCACTAATCTATCATATATATATTTATAGATATATATAAAAAATGGTAAACTTTGGTATCTACTTTTTTGTTAACTTCAGCCTTTGCCTTCTCTTTTGATCAATGTTTTTTCAATGCCAGCTTTAGGACAGAACGAATTATATGAAAAATTAAAAAAAGAAACCAGCATATTACCTGATATATATAAAAAAGACAAAAAAATGTAGTGCCTGTGAAAACTGTATTATATTGCTCTACTGAATAATGGATTTTCCTCTCTACACCAGTAGCCTTTGCTGTCTGTCAGAGCCTTCTGATTATAGCTGATGTACAATAAACTTAAGGTATTACTGCATGCTATTCCATAATTGCTTAGTGAGCTGTTATGAATATTACTCAAGAAAAAAAAAATGTTATTGTTATGTTATTTTTTTTCTCCCCAAATTCTGCTTGAGTTCTTTTTAGTTCTGGAGATGTTTTACTGACACTGTGTTTCCTTGTTCAGTTGTTTTTGGTGTTTTCAGTGTCTTTATTTAAATTTTCTTTCCTTTGATCTACCTACATGCCAAGACCCAAGACATCACCATTTACATGTAAAGGTTTTTTGTGTTCCCTTTCTTTATTCTTTTGTCTCATCCATTCATCCATTTATTTCTTTAGGGGTGAATATTGGTACTCAGAATCGGAAGAGTGTCTCAGATAGAGCAGTAACTTCAACTAGAGTGCCCTGGGCAGGCTTTGCAATCCCCGATCATCCCGGTTCAGAGGCAAAGAGTGTGTGTTAGCAAATGGCTAACTTCATTGCTGTTTTCAAAGGGTGGTTGAACCCCAAAAGAAAACTGCTTTATTTGCTGGGATAGTCTTAACAGTTTTTTTTTTTAACTGCCAAGAATCAAGATGTCTTTATCTTTTGCAGTACATTCAGCATTATAGGAGATTATGCATTTACTGAACTTAGTCTGGGAAGACTGAGCCACTGAGATTCCTGACAGTGAGTGAAACTCCCAGGACCACAAGGTGCACAGTAGAGACTCAGGAGGTCCAATAATCATGGCATCCATTCAGTCAGGAGCCCTTGTAGGCAGTTGCTATTATCACCCAGAAGATAGCAACCTACGTACCTCTACCTTACAGTCCCATGGAGTTCTGTATTCTTGACCAAGTGGTCAGCTAAACTCTCGTTAAACTCCTCAGTGAGTAACAAGATTTTCAAACAGACCTTGGCAATCCTCAGGTTTTCTGACAGGTAAGAGACAAAATAGCTTTTCCAGAAGATTGTTCAAAAACAGATTGGGTCACCGAATGTTTCTAGTTGTCATTAGATCCTTAGATAGAATGCAAATATTCACTGTGATGTTCTTTACTAGGACACGATGAAGCGGTGAGCAATGAGAGGTGACTAGGGAATGGAGAACTTAGTTAAATTGCCATTTAGATTTAGGAAATTGGTGAGGTACTTCTTACTTAATTTAAAGGTCTGTTTTGGAGTTGTGCTATCAGTGTGTTGGCTTGAGAGATGTTTAAAGAAGCCGAAACTGTGGAAGCAGTGTTCTGCCATCCTCAACCATCTTTCTACCCCTGACAAATTACAAATGAGGTGGACTTCAGTCTTCGCCACTGTCAATCAAAACATTCTGCACATGTCCAGACTGCTTAACACTGCTTACAAGGACAGGCATGCCGCTCACACACTTCAGTGATTGCATCCACAGATTTGAAATGCCAGGACATTCTAAACACATTTGAAATGATGGAGGTATTCTGTGAGTCTGTGAGGGTGAAGTGAATACTTACTTCTAAGTGATCTTAATCAACACCTGCGATCGATGTTAATTAGAAAAAAGTATTGTTACCTCATCTGGAGGATATTAAATCCCCCAATAATACAATATTTATTTGCGTATAAAGACAAAAGGATTGCACAGCTTTAGTACAGAAATAGTAGTTACATAAACAAAACGGTCAAATTCAGGGTGACCTGATGACTGGACACAGGAGTGATTGCAAACACTAGATCAATTTGTTGCACCTATTCCTTTGAGCAAGCATGCAGATATGTAGTCTGTCAAGGACTTCAAATTTGGAACATCTCAGAAGACAGAAGAAAACCGGGGACACATATAGCATTTTTTTATCATGGGATCTGTTTTGAAGGATCTGTGCTTGAATGATTTTGACTTCACTGGCTATTTTGCCACTGCTAATTGAGCAATACTGCTGTCTTTTTTAAGAGGTGCAAAACATCAGAAACCACCCAGTCGTTTGGTGCTTTCGCAAGGCCTGCCATTCCACGCTGTATGTTTCAAGAAAAGACAATCATTATGGTGGAAATAAGAATCCTGTGTGTAAGAAGCAGTTTGGAGTTTTACATGGCATGTAGTACCAATGTCCACCTCTACCTCTCTTCTGCCCCTGTTCATCAAAGATCAGACCCATGTTTCCTTCAATCTTGCATGCATTTCACTTATGTTTGCTTTCTTTTTTCTTTCCCCTGCCATTGGACAACAGAAATATGTTTCAAGAAAAAAAAAATTAAGGAAAAAAACCTTGTGCCTCTATTACACCTGTATTGATCTGAATGGTTACCATTAACCTTCCATTGTTTGTGTACAATGTAACTAGCTCCATTGGTGGTTAAAGATCATTGTGTCCATCCTTTTCACACTTGACTAAATTCACCACAGATATTTACAGTTTTGAAAAGAATCTTTACAGTTTTTATTTTAAACTGGTGTGGATTAGTTTTATTGAAACATTAGTGTGACCACCTTCTCACAGATTCAGTTACTGGAAGCAAGATCTGCATTTCCTATGCAACAGAAAAAAAAAAGAATAAAAAAATGCTAATGCTACAGTATTGTGTCCAAGAGAATTATTCTACACCCATGAGCCACTCATTTCCCACCAATTCAGTTATGGGAAAGGTCCAGAGTTCTGTTTCACAATTCCAGTCCTGAAGATTCATTCTGAAGAAAATCTTGCTAGCAGAGAGCAGTTTCCCGCCAGCCCACTGGTTTTACCATTTTTTTCCCGAAATACAGAAATGTTTAATGTATTTGTAATATAAGGAAATGTTTCACAATAACTCCTCAGACACCTAATTTGGACCTAAACCAGCCCAAGTGTCCCTAAGTATACTCCTTACACAACTTCAACATGTTTTTACAGGGTATTTCCTGAAATAATGTGTTGCCACATGCATTAGAGTAAGTCTAATGTCAGTAAGTCTTTTATGTCACATGTTACAAAAGTATATGTTGGTGTAGTTTTTATTTTTATTTATTATTAATGTATTATTTCTTACTTTAAAAAAAGTACAGTAAAAGTAAACAAGGTTTTCACAGATGTAGGCAATTAGATGTAGACCTGGGTGAAAAGGAAAAAAATGAGTTTGGATTGGAAGAGAGTTAAAGAATTTGTCTCTGGTGGAGTTGACACAGAAGGCATGGTCACCAAAAGTCCTGGGTACAAGATGTAGAGGACCAGCCTCAACCAAACGGAGTCTACAGGAGAGAGTTTAAACATGGAGGAGATCATCAGAGCAACCATGGCCACTTCCTCCTACTTTCCTTTAGTGTCTCCACTTTCCTTTTCCCTCCCCTGAAATCCATGCTTTCTCCCGCTTTCTACTTCAGCAACATACTGTACCACACGTAGGGCCCTGCCTATATTCAGACTATATTGTTTTGTCTGTCCCCAGTTCGTCTTTTCTGTGCATGACATCAGTCTCGCACCCGTGATGGGGTTACTCCCGCTTTTATCCCCCCCCCCCCACCAAACCCTGGTGTCCAGTTGACATGTTTTGGCCCTCGACTTATGACCCCACCCCACCACCAATGGTTTCACTCATCCAGGCTTCTGGGACTGAGGCCTTCTCAAGTGCTCCAGAGCCCTACTAGGCATCAGTTACCCTAACCTCACTGATGCACACACCCAGCATCAGTCCTTACCAGGTCCAGTCTACTCATTAAGTACTCTCATCAACTTGGTGCAAGACAACTGCTTTCCAGAATTTAGCCCTAGGTAGGAATTTACCTATAAACGGCAAGAGTAGCTGGACCACATTGGTCGATACATTTATCCTCAGCACACAAACATCATTTCTGCTATCAGTCTTACGTGACTCTTACACCTGTTTAATAGTGTTAGGTAAAAGAACAAATTCCATGTCTTTACTTTTTAATCGACAATCGCTTGTTCTCGCTTTTAGTTTCAGGAATCGTGGATCTTGACTCCATAAGTTCCACCTATTCCAAATCCAAGTTCTCTGCATCCCTCAGTCCCTTCCTTGAAACACAGTTCTCCAAAACATTGCACCTTGCACTCTATACTGCCTTCATAGAGTTAAATTTTCCTCTATATAATTGCCTTCCCATCGCCATTGAAATCTTAGTAGGCTATATTTGTTTCTTTAAAGCAGCTACATTCTCTTCTAATAGATTGACTCCTGAAGATTTAACTCTTGCTTTCATTTGGTTTCATGCCGTATACCAAATTCATGCCGTTGGTATCACTATAAACTACATCTCTAGTACCTTTTCAGATGTTCCTAATTGTCCTTTTGATAAATATACTGACTACCTTAAAACAAGGAAGACTGATCAATCAGATCATTGAGTTTTTATTCATTAATACAAGCTCAGGTCTGTCATTCTCCATTGCGAACCTCTTTTCACACACAGTTATCTTCATTCTTCTTGATCTACCTTCTCTTCAGCCTCTCTGTTCAAACCAAACTGCTGAATTAAAATTTGCCAAAATATTTAGATGTAGATTTTTCGTTAGCTTTTCTTTTGTTTCTATCTTAAGTAGCAGCTGGAAGAACAGAAGATAAGAGTTTTTTTTCTGAAAATGAGACATTTCTCCTGAAGGATGAGTGTCCCAAATCAGAGCCCAAACAGAGATAGCCAAGGGCGCAGGAATGTAACAGTGATATATGCCATGTAAGACAAGGTGAGTATATAATCACACTCTATATAAAACAGTAGGAATCTGTTGTCCCAGAGTCCTCATTGTAAATGCTGTTCTCTTGCATACCAATTGTCATGGCCAAATAGCATGCAGGCTTATAAAATCTGGCCTGTCTTCCCTTATTAATGCTTACCACGGCAAATTTGCACCAGGCATTTTCCAGTTTCCCTGTGGTTTTCCCATACAGTATGCATTTACTCTGCTTTGCCACAGTTCCACATGGCTTGTGTCACGTTCTCCCTCTTTATGGCCTGCGGTTTGCTATGCTTTTCTGTGCTTTTACAATGCTATATACTAAATTAGACCCTTATACAGTAGTTCTGCATATAACATTAGACCTTTAAAATACTTCCTCCACCCTGAGTGTCAGATAATAAGCTTTTTTTAAATTCAGGGTTTTTCAATGGATTCCCTATTATGACAGAGGTGGACGACCCTCTGTCATCTCCTGGACTCAACAAGGAGATGTGATAGGTCAGCTTTAAACCAGTAATGTCTAAAGGGCGGTAATCATGGCATTTTACTCTTTTATGTATTTGTTCAGTGAAGTCATTTAAAGATCATGTGGGTGAAAAACCTTATTACCCTGTCTGTAGTTCACTAGGACCAGAGAGGAATCTCCCTTGCTAAAAAAGGCAGTCATTAGTACTGCATAGCTGCAAAACCTCATTTGTGATGCAACAGGTTCAAACATGACCCTTTGCATGGATTTATCATTTACTTGCACAGAAAGGCTGCCTGACATCTTATTTACAGTATGATGAAGAAGTGCAGTAACTACAGAAACACAGCTTTAAAGAAGACCAGTGCATGCAAACCCCATGCATAGTTCACTAAGACAAAAGTGCTTCAAGAAATGATTCTGACTAGTTCTGCCAGTACCAATAGATTGTTACCCCTTGGAGTTGAGATAAAACTTCACTCTGCTAGGTACAAAATGAAATCTGTTTCGTGTCTATGTTTAACTGTCACGCTTCACTTGGGGATGAAGTGTTTCTTGGCAAGTCTTCGCCTCAGAATTGAAACAGCCGTGACATCAGCCAGAGGTAATGTCATTTCCCAACACGTCTGAGCAGTCGAAAAAGGAACCTCTTTTGCCTCCGTGAGCTCTATTCCATTTTAACAAAAATAAACACACCGAACGAAGTCTTCAACAGGCGGAAAGGTTACTATTTTGTGAAAGGTAAACAGTTTCCTAATGTGTTTTTTTAAGACATTCAAAACAGAAAGATGTCGCTTACTAAAGCAAAGGAAAGAAAAAAATACACCTGCAAGTAATTACAACAACCGAGGCTAATCAAAAGCCATGAAACATAATAGCAGATGGCTCCATTTTTTCTAATTGCTTCATTTGTACCAATTCATGTATTGACCAATAGCAAAAGGGGAAGGCCAGGCTTTCTGAACTTTGAATTTAACTCTTTGTTAATGCAAAGGCAATTCTTGCAGGCCAGAAGGCATGATAAGTCTTTTGCCTGTTCTCTCCTTGGCTATCAGGACAGTTCACACTGGCAACGAGTTTGTGGTTGAGAAGAAGGGGCTTGTCATACAGTCATAAAGGGATGATATCGGTAAGAAGAGTAACTTGAGGTAATGTCGTTTCCCAGCATGTCTGAGCAGCAGAAAAAGAGGATTTAAGAGCTGTCGCAGAAATCCAAACACTAACGAGTCTCTTAATGTGGGTAATGATCACCCACATTAACACTCACCAGTGGCCCTGTTTATGAGAATTTTCTCCCACCACAACAGAGTGCTCTTTCTCCCATGACAGGTACCCTGAACATTAACCAGATTTAACCTTCTCAGTCATCCCTTATCACACTTGAGGCAGCCTAAGATTATCATAAACAGCCAAATAAAGTGTACTTCACTGACGTTTGTTTCTGCAGTTGCAAATCAGACTTGATCTGAGAGAACTGATTTGCTCACATCTTTCTTGTGTGATTCAGAATTGGTTCATAACTGTTGCACAGGAGGTCTATCTAGGTATAGTATCAGTTTGTGGTGTCAGTCTTTGTCAAGAAGTCTACATTTAATGGATACTGTCACCAGGGTTCCTCGTGTTCCTGGCTTAAGTCTGGATCTCTCAGAGGACAGAATAAAATGTTCTAGGTTAAGCTACAGTGGCCGTTTCAGGAATATGATTCTTGTGAGCACTGAAAACCCTTGTGGGTTGAGCAGTGAGAGAAAGATAACCTCCTGTAATCTTTGAACCAGATGGCTAACTGATCTTAACTGTTTTCTGTGATGTCAATGTAGAAACCAGTGTTAAGATTGCACATCTGCCCTGCCAACAAGATGTGGGGGGAAGAGAAAGTTTACCTTCGAATTCTGAAGAAATGCTATGGTGCAATTTTGCGTTATTCAATATGCATGTGCATTATGGCAGTTTTTTAACAGTATATTGGAAGAACGCATTGGGGAATGTGGAAGTGAATTTAAGCCCTTCCAGCTGAAAACTCAGCACTGTTCGGATGATTAAAAAACTTAACATAACCTTACAAAACAGAATTCTGTGTATCATAGCTTTTATTTGTGTGGCTGGAGAGTTTTCTCTTTCTCATTCTTTAAGATGGCTCTTGTGGTTTCCTCCTTCTTTCTTTCTCGTGCAGATGCGCCAGCTGGTTAAAAATACTGTCTGATTCTGCCAGGCCCTGGTGGTCAGAGCTGCCTGGGAAAAGGAGCTCGCAGAAACCACTCACGGTTCTGTGCCATAAGGAGAGGAAATCTCCACAATTGAAACTAATACATAGAACAGTAAATAAATAGGATTTTTTCTACTTAGCAGTACAAAGTCCTTTCTGTACTCTTAATCATCTTAATCTCCCTGGAAATTCAAGGAAAGGGATATTGCTAGATTAATTACCCATGATATTTTACACT